GTCTTTTACAACTATGAATGAAAAACTCTGGAATGCATAGTGTGGAAGTGATCTATGAACTTAATATAGAATTACCTACATGAAACAGTGGAGTTGTAGTGAAATGGCTATTATTCATTTCTAGTGCAATGACTTGAAAGTAGGCAATGCAGTTATTAAATGACATTTTCTTCAAGTTCAAAGCTAACTGTAGTGAAAGGAGGTGGAGGATAAAGCTTTTACGTTTTGTTACTTCCAGGTCCAGAACAGTATTCTGTAAAGAGTAGGTGCTCAATAAATACTTGTTATAATGAATTGCATTTCTGTGACATTTGGCCAATCTCTCTCCCAGGTGTCTTTCATTCTGAGATTATGGAGTCATACCCTAAGAAGTTCCAGGGATAATTCTTGGTTGTAGGTGTGATGGATTTTGGGGAATTACAAATACAGTTGAATTTTAGACTCAAGGAAATTCTTCCCTAACATTATACAATGATTTTTGTTAGTGAACTGTTTTGTAGTTCATTGTGATGAGGCCTTGTTTTCCTAGAATTTAGGGTCCTGACTTTTTGTAAGTTGACTATTTTTCCTGGTGATGATGACTTTGGCTGGGATCTTGCCCCCCCCCTTTTTTCTTTCAATCACCCAGTTACATTGAGTTCTTTTGACTCCTAGCCCAGACGTCTGTATTTCTTCAGTTTTCAGATAGACTGTCTGAGGTTAAAGCTTGCCTACTTGTGCAATTATTTCTTACTGTGTTTGAAGTGGGGGTAGGTGGGGAGCAGCAAAGATCAGTATGAAATGCATGAGCTTCAAACTGATCCATGCCTTAAGGCAGGCTCTGCCATTTACTAGTTATGTACAATTTTCCCCTCCTGAAGCCTTGGTGGTCTTATTTGAAAACGGGTATTATATCATTCACCTTGAAGGATTTTGATGAGAGTTAAATGAGATAACCTGGGAAAAGTACTTGGTACAGAGCCTCACACAGAGCATACTTTCCTGAGAGTGGTGTGCCATCAAATTACCCTTAATCTGTGCCCCTCCCCTGCTAATGTCCACCACCTATCACCAGACAGTTCTTTCTAACAATAAAAGTGCACCTGCCTGGATATGATTATATTACCAGCCTGAGAACTATGTCTATTTTCTACCATTTCATGGTGGATCTGTCCAGTCTCCAGGTGCTGAATCAAGGAGCCACTCCAAAAGGTCTTTGCACGTTCTGAGCCCCATGTCTGACACCTACTTTACTATTGCTTTTGTAAACTCATTTTTCACTTTTTTCTCTCATGAAATAAAAGTATTTTGAAAAATGACATTTTAATTTTGAGACAATGTTAGTGTTTATGTGTACCTTAATCATTAATTTAAAAAATAGCTGTGCTTGTTATAAACCATGCATTGTTAAAGCACCAGATATTCCTTGAAAATAAAATAGGCAAAATTTCCTTAATATTAAAGGAGATCAATAATAAACACTATGTCCTAACATGGTAAATTCTATGAAGTAAAATAAAAAGTGGGATGGTGAGATGTAGCAGGGATGTGTTCATGTGTGCATCCAAGTAGAGGCAAGGATGATGTGTGAGTACAACCCATAGCAGTTGTGTAAAATCCATAAGCAGAGTACAACATAAGAGTGACAGCTCTGAAGGATGCTGTTGGAAGAACAGCAAGAGTTACTGGTATTATCATAATGATTGAGGAGAAGGAGACACAAAGAGAAAGTTAAGGATGAGATTGGGCAGACTCTGTAGTCCATGATAGGAAATTTGTATTCTAAGAAAAAGCTTGAAAACAGGAGAACAGAGCCTTATTTATGCTTGTTGAGGAAAATTCATTTAATATGTCCTTCCAAGGATTATTTTCTAGGGAATGTGCCATAGTTTTACACTCAGTTTGTTTTATTTTGTGTGATGAGACTTGAACCCAAGGCTTTGTACATGCAAAGTATGTGCTATACCACTGAGCTACATTCCAGCTCCATCCCAGCCCTTTGCTTTATTTTAAGTAAGGCCCAGTGTGTGAAATTGCATGTTAACTTACACATTTTTGTTCTTTAGAAATGCAAAAATTTCTAAGCTGGGTGTGGTGGTGCACAACTGTAATCCCAGTGGCTCCTGAGGCTCCAGCAGGAGGATTGTGAGTTCAAAGACAGCCTCAGCAACTTTGAGAGCCCCTAAGAAACTCGGTGAGGCCCTGTCTCTAATAAAATATAAAAAAAGGTCTAGGGATATGGCTTAGTGGTTACACATGCCTGGATTCAACCCCTGGTACCCCCCAAATAAATAAAGAAATGCAAAAACTTCTGATTGGCAAAAAGTATAGAAAAGAGAACCCCAAAGATTACAGTTTTCATGCCTGTAAGGTATTGACCAGTTTTGTCTCTTAGGGAAGACATACTAAAAGATTTTGCTAAGTGCCCCATTTATCTAACTGTCCTTTGAACTAGCTTTACAATCTTTACGCTTCTATTGATGGGTTGAACATCTTTAATGTACTCTGTATTCATTGAGTGTCATGGTTTTAGCTTTGGAGGAATTTACTTTCTAACATGCTAAGAAAGCTCATTTTGGCTACTGAGTGAAGAATGGATTGTATGATCATTTGTTGGAGAAGATGTTAGGAGCGGAAGCTGGAAGACAGATGGGAAGAAGGATGCAGTGGTTAAGGTAATGGGAATGTCAAGATGACCTGGCCAGTTGTAGTGGTGGATGGGGAGACCTGATTGGATTTTACATTTGATTCGGAAGTAAGAGTAAGAATTGCTGATAAATGACTGGAGTGCGAGATACAGAAAGAAAGTAGGATTTTTGCTTGGGCATTGGCAAATCATGTTGGAGAAACAGCAGGATTAAAGAGGTTTTTTTTTTTTTTTTTGATAGGTTAACTTTAGACATAATCTATGCCTGTTTGGCAAATTTCCTTACAGTAAAGATATCCATGTTTTTAAAATAATCAGGAAAATCTTAGGTTTTAGTGAACATTTATAATTATGTATATGCTCTTTATTTGTATCCTATAGATGTACATACATGAGCACACTAGTGATCTGAGATTTCATTGTACATACACACAATATTGGCATAATTTTCCTTGAACTAATAAAAATAATCCCATTCTCCCAAATGCATAAAGTTCAGGTCTAAGAATTAAGTTAAATTATTTCACCAACTCCAAAGACTTTTTTTTTTTTTAACTATAAAAGTCTTTACAGGGCTGGGGTTATGGCTTAGCCGTAGAGCGCTCACCTGACATGGGCAAGGCCCTGGGTTCTGTCCTCAGCACCACATAATAATAGTTATTAAAAAAAAGTCTTTACAATGATACAAATTCTTACTTAACTGATGAATAATTGCTTTAAAAAGAAAACACCAAATTCATTAGTCTCACTGAAACATTTCTTTTTTAGATAGAAATTACTGTCCTATTGTATGTCACCATATATATGTATTTAATGAGACAATTTTTTAAAAACAGCACTCAAGATATGTAAATTATTATTATGTAAAACTATTAGGAAAATTTTTGGTGACAATAGTTCTTGAGCCTCTAACTGAAAATACCTTGACTACTGGATTTAAACAGCAACCCGCTATCCAAAGTTTACACTCCTCCCTAGCAGTACTGATTCCTTTGTTTCTTGTTAATTTTATTTTCATTTTCTGTTTGTTTATGTATTGTTTATTATTTATCTTCCTCCCTAGAATAAACGCCCTGAGGGTAGGATCTTTGTCTCATATTTACTGTATGTGAAATGTCTAGTGTAGTGCTCAGCACATACTAAGTGCTCAGAAAATTGAATAAATGAACGAGAGACTTACAGTAATTGGAGAATGCTTTCCAGTCTAAAAATGGCACAGAAAGATAATTCAACTTAGCTGCATGTGACTTATAATTACTATTTATACAGCAGATTCATCCTATCTTTTGGTTAGGCTAATGTTAAAATTATATTTAGCATCCTAAATGTATAATGGTCAGAATCTTAGGTATCCTCAAAGTATGCTTGGTGATTTGGGGAGATGTTTATCAGACATGTAATATAATCATGGGTGAGTAACATAAGAGATGTTTTCCCATATCTTCAATTGTAAGTTGTGATTAGTATCACCTGCTTTGTAGAATTGCGGGGACTAAATGAACCATTATACAACAAACCATAGATCAATGTTCTTCTGGTAGATATCATTCAATAAAAGCTTTAACCTATCTTATTCATATAAATCAATTATCATAGTAAGGGATTCAAATAATAGCTACTTGAATTCTTGAAAATTAAACACTTGGAAATTTGTCAATGGGTATAAAAACAAAAGCTGAAACTATGAAGTGAATCACTATTTAAAATATACACATGACTTTAGTTGACCCAGAAAAATGATGGAAGTTTTTATATATAAGATCAAATTGCATATTAATGATTTTTTTTGAATTACTATTTTACTCCCCTACTTCCAGCTGATCAATTCTTGAAAATAAAAGATTTTAGGAAGAATTTGCCTATTATTTTTGACTATTTCTTTCCTAAAATTTATTTGAGAACTCTCATATAGAAGAAAAAAAGTGTAAAATGTTTAAAATTTTAGGGACAAGAAACAGTTTTAAGTACCCAACAATATGGGAATACCATAGAAGAGAATCATATCTGGCAAAAACTTATTCTTTTGGGAATTCTCATCTTCATAACAAAAAACCTTAGAATTCAAGGGAAACAATTTCCCCCTTGAGGAATGAAGAAAACTGTACTCAAATATATAATAATATGCAGATTGAGTAGATTTATTTCACAATGTAGTTCCTTTCCTGTTGTTTCCCTTATCTCCAACCTTCTCGATCCCATAAATGATGGCAGTTTACCCAGATACTCTAGTTGAAATTTAGGGGATCATTCTTGCTCTTTCCTTCCTTGCTATACACAGTCAGTAAGGTGGACTTAATTATCTACATTTTGAATCTAACTACTTGATCTTTCATGGCAATGGTGCATTCCAGACTGGGAAAGCATCATCTCTTACCTTAAGGCCACTGGTCTTCCCACTTCATCTCTTATAAATTCATTCTTCATTCAACCTTTAATATAAATAAGATCATATCCATTCTCTGTTGGAAATACTTCATTTGCCACTCATTGTTCTTACAATCAAATTGAAACAACTCAGCCTGGCATTAATGATGAACTTCACCTTTTTCCAAGTTCATCTTGCCCCACTTCTTTCCAGGTCCTTGAGCTTTCATTTCTTTCCTGACTTGAGGCCTGATTTCTTGGAAACTTTATACTCTTTTGTTGTTGTTGTTGTTGTTGTTATAATCAGTTATACATGACAGCAGAATGCTCTTCAATTCATTGTACACAAATGGAGCACAAATTTTCACTTCTCTAGTTATATACAGAGTAGGGTTACACTATTAGAGGAATCATACATGTACCTGGGGTAATGCTGTCCATCTCTACCATTTTTCCTACCCCTATTCCCTTCCCTCCCCTCCCCTTTGCCCAAAGTTCCTCCACTTATCCCATGCCCCCACCTCCCATTATGGATTAGCATCTGCTTATCAGAGAAAACATTCGGCCTTCGGTTTTTTTGGATTGACTTATTTCCAGTAGCATGATAGTATCTAACTCCATCCATTTACCTGCAAATGTCATAATTTTATTCTGTTTTAATGCTGAATAATATTCAATTGTATATATATATACACATATATATATACGTATATATATGCGTATATATACGTGTATATATGCGTATATATACGTGTATATATGCGTATATATACGTGTATATATGCGTATATATACGTGTATATATGCGTATATATACGTGTATATATGCGTATATATACGTGTATATATGCGTATATATGTATGTATGCGTATATATGTATGTGTGTGTATATATGTATGTGTGTGTATATATGTATGTGTGTGTATATATGTATGTGTGTGTGTGTATGTGTGTGTATATATATGTGTATGTGTGTGTATATGTATGTATGTGTGTGTGTATATGTATCAGTTTCTTTATCCACTCATCTGTTGAAGGTCATCTAGGTTGGTTCCACAGTTTGGCTACTTTGAATTGTGTTGCTATAAATACTGATGTGGTTGTGTCACTATAGTATGCTGTTTTTAAGTCCTTTGGGTATAGTCTGAGGAGAGGCATAGCTGGGTCAAATAGTGGTTCCATTCCAAGTTTTCTAAGGAATCTTCATACTCCTCTCCAGAGTGGTTGCACCAGTTTGCAGTCCTACCAGTAATGTATGAGTGTGCCTTTTTCCCCACATGCTCACCAACACTTATTGTTGTTTATATTCATAATAACTGCCATTCTCACTGGCGTGAGATGAAATCTTAGAGTAGTTTTGATTTGCATTTCTCTAATTACTAGAAATGGTGAACATTTTTTCATATGTTTGTTGGTTGATATCTTCTGAGAAGTGTCTGTTCAGGAACTTTCTACTCATTTCACTTAAAGCCCTTCTTGGAAGGGATGATACTTATGACCATCTACCTAAAACAGGTCACTTGCCTGTCAAACTTGGAAACTCATTCATTCCACTTCCATATTTTACTTTCATTTTATTTATTTTAATGGCAAAGTCTCTCTGGTTCACCATTTTATCCCCAGTGTTTAGAACAGGGAAGATATTTACTGAATAATTGTAAATGCATCATCTGTCCCTCAACAAAGTATAATCTATGATGGTATTTTAAAAAAATATAAGCAAAGACAGAAAAGTTCATACTAATAACTAATTGACTAATGAGGATCTTTCTTAGGAAAAGCTCAATAAGATTCAGATTCAAAATTTCCTTATTTCTTTGTAATGCCTAGTCCCTCAAGAGACCTTCATGTAGATGAAGTCTCACTGCTCTGATTCCTCACCAGAATCGGTTTTTCTTTATTTTTTTTTTTAATTTCAAAAGTTATAACCTCCAGATGTTCACCACCTCTTCATGGCTTGTATTTTTATTTTCTTCACATTCTATTCGTATAATTCTATATGTCAGAAAATTTTTCTCTAAGCATAAAATATCAATATTCTTTTGCTATTTCAGAAATATTATGGTACCAAACTATCAAAGGTAAAGTTACATGGCAAACAACTATCTTCTTGAGGGGGGAAAAAAGGAAATAACTTACTCTTTGTTTCATTATAAATTTATCCTTAGGCTCTTACTATTTCTGATTATTTTTTCTTTGTTTCATTATAAATTTATCCTCAGGCTCTTACTATTTCTGATTATTTTTTTTCTACTCCTTTTTTTTGGGGGGGGTACCAGGGTTTGAACTCTGGGGCACTCTACCCCTGAACCACCTCCCCAGCTCTATTTCATATCTTATTGAGAGAGAGGGTCTCACCACGTTGCTTAGCTCCTCACCATTGCTGAAGCTGGCTTTGAACTTGAGACCCTCCTGCCTCAGCCTACAGAGCCGCTGGGATTACAGGCATGCACAACCGCGCCCAGCCTTTTCTGCTACATTATATTAAATGTTGCCTGTCATGTGGTTAAATAAATTATCTGAGGTGGGTGTAATTTTGGATTAAATAAGTTATTCACTTATTGTCCCCTACCCTCTTTTTAACTTCAGAATGTTAATAATTCTTGGTAACTTTCTCTGTGGTGCAGCTAAAACCTACCGTCAGGATGAGGATAATAGAGATGACTCAATTACTTAGGACTTCATGGTTTGGGGTATATTTGTAAATAAAATTAGTTGATCAAGACTAGATCTTGGGATACTAGAGCCTTGAGAAGACTGACTGAAAACTGTTATTTCTTAACCCTTTGGGAACATTTAAAACATAGAGTGCTCATTTCAAATCTAAAAAAAAGTTGTAACATATACGTGTGTAGGTATATATACACACGCATATAAAGTAAAGAGTATGCTGTAGTTATTGTAATATTCTATAAACCAAAATAGGTCAAATTCATTAACTATGTCATTCTAAACTTCTATATCCATAATTGAATTTTTTGTTGGCTTTTTCCTATTAGTTACTGAAAGAAAGATTAAAAATACCTCATGATTATGGATTGTAAATTATATCTTTAGTTCTACAAACTTTTGCTGTTTATAATTGAAATTTATTGTTAGATATTTATGAATTTATAATTTTATAGTTTTCTATGGACTTGTTTTGTTTTTAAAATATATTTTTATATCTTGTAGTTTTACTTGAGATCTCCTACGTCTTATGTTAATAGAGCTATAAAATGTCTTTTAGTTAATATTTACATGTAAGATCTATTTTCCTCCTTTCCTTTCAAACTATATTTCCATTTACTTAAAATATTTCTTAATATAGCTGTGTTTTGTATTTTTTATTTTTATCCAGTCTGACAAAGTATACTTAAATATAATTTTGTAGTTTGCATGGAATTTTTTTTCCAAACTTTGTGAGGTATAATTGACAAATACTGTAAAATTTCAATATGTAAAACATGTTTAGATGCATGCATGTATTGTGAAATGAAAATTCTCTATTTTAGTTGAATACATTTACCTTAAATATTGATTTATCTCATGCAAATATATCATCTTGCTATTAATAGTGTTGATCTCATTGCTTACCCTTTATTTCTTTTTTGCGGGCTTCCTTTTTATGAAGTCACATTATTATATTTTGTTATATTTAAAATTCCTTTACAATTTTAATTTTACATTCTTCTATTACTGTTGGTGATTATGATTTACTATGTCCTGAACATGCAAAACACTTATAACCATTTAATTACATTACTCCCCTTCAACCTTTTGTGTTTATCTCCCATAATATTTCACTTAAATTTATCCTAAATGCCAGACATTACATATTTATTTTAATAGTGAATCTGCATTTGAGTTTACCCAAAAATTTATCCTTTCTTTCACTGTTTACTGAAGTTAGTGTTCCTTTATGATTATTTTCCTTAAGTACTTTTAGTGTCTTTACTAGTGTAGGCTTACCTGCAAAAAAATTCTCATCTTTTGAATTTCTGGTATCTACTTTGCCTTCATTTTCCTGAAATATATTTTTCCTGGCTACATAATTCTAGGTTAATAGTATTTATCTTACATGTGCAGTTCATTGCCTTGCTTCAACATTTTTCTATTGTAGTCAACTGGCTTGGCTTTTCTTTTTACTGAAGATAATGTGTACCCTTGCCTCATTCCAGGTAATTTGCTTCCCTCACAGTGCTGGGGCTTAAACCCAGGGCTTTGCACATGCCAGGCAAACACTCTTCCACTGAGCTAGCCTCCAGTACTCTTTAAATGCTCTTTTTGCTTTGGTTTCTAATAGTGTTAGTATGATGTCATTAAATATGATTTTATTCATATTTATCATGCTTAATGTATGTAGGTTTTGAATCTTAAATATGTAAAACTAAGCATTTTTCATCAATTTTAGAAAAATTCCTGGTGCCCATACATGCAGTACTGGTGATAGAACCCCAGTGGTGCTCTACCACTGAGTTACATCCCCAGCCCTTTTTATTTTTTATTTGAAGACAGGGTTTTGTCAGATGGCTGAGTCTGCCCTTCAATTGCAGTTGTCCTACCTCAGCCTTCTGAGTAGCTAGCTGGGTTATAGGTGTGCGTCTGGCAGAGGCCAATATTTTTCTAAAAATGATTGTACTGTTCTTTCTCCCTTCTTTCTAGCATTCTGGTTATACACATTTAGACCTTTTCTCTGGATCCGATATTTCACTGATAATTTTTGCTATACTTTCTACCTTTCTCTTTTTATATAGGCCTCAATCTGGGCATTTTTTATTAATGTTTTCAGTTCATTCAACTTTCTACTCCAATGTTTCCCATATAGTATTGAATTTTTCTACTGAATACAATTTTGATTTTTTTTTCTGTTGCAGAATTTCAATTTGGTACTTTTATGGATTTCTGTTTTCTACAAAATTTCCATCCTTTCCTCTATGTATATAAATATATTAATCATGGCTCTTTTTAAATTCTTGTGTAATCATTTTAGTATATGAAACCCTTTGTTGCCTGTTTGGACTTTCAGTGTTCTGTTTTGTAGTGAGTTTGTTCTGTTTTTAGCAAGCCTTGTATGTTTGGAAG